AGGATATGAACAAAATGTGCACATGTGGCTACATGCAGCTCTCGCTTTTATCTAAAACAAGCGCATCTACTCACGACCGCTCATGCTGTAAACACAGTCCAGTTAAAAGTAAATGGCACAAATCCATATAATGCAATGGTCTATTTGCATATAGGCCTACTGCAGCTCTGATTGTTTATGCCGCACCCGTCTGTGTAGAGTATGGGCTGAGTAGTGCTTGTCAATGCAATAGAATCCTACTCCGATGCGTTCTGCCTACAACAAAATATATTGCATAGTTGGTTTTGTTTCGGTATGTTACATTGAAAGTGGCTAATACTGTATTGATTCGATCACAATTGCCACAGTAAAGGGAAACGTTAATGGTGTTAACAGGGAAAACTCTAGGACAGTGGTCACCAACCTTTTCTGAGTCAAGATCACTTTGGGTCAAAATGCAAACCGAGATCTACTGCTCAGATTATTTAAATAATTTGCTTTTTATTTTACTGGGCTGATTGATGGTGCCTGCATCTGATGAGCAGTGTCAGCAGAGAGAGAGAGCAGCAGACTGAGGGTCCACCTCTCAATATCCCTTCACTCTCCCTTTCCTCCACTGACACTGACCAAAAAGGGACACCATCCATCTTCCAGCTGATGGCGAAACTCCAGTTGCACTGTATTATTTCTGCATCCTGCACACATTCATGTTGTTCCTCCTATGAACAGAGAAAGTGAAATATTCCTCGATATTAAAAAGACCCATGTCGCTAATAATAACAACAACGCAAGCCCATAGATACACGTTCCTACTCATTCATTACTGCTGCAGTGCTTGTTTTGGCGCTGAGTGTAAATATGAAGAACGCACATTTTATGGCTTATAAAAGTGTTGACTACAAAGTGTTGACAGTGTTGAGTAAAAACTTAAACATGAACTAACTAATAACAACAGCATCTCTTTGCTGTATTCGTTGACAGTCTCTCTCTAGTCATGGTTTTAAACGTTTTGAAATCTCACAGTATCAACTTTGCTTTTATGCCTGCTACGTTACTGCAGACACGATAGAACTCTAATGCACTTGATTTGCTCTCTGGGCCCGTTGGGAAGGCAGAGTTTGTACCTTCAGACGCATGAAATGGTTCAAAATGGCAACAGTTCGCCTACCCGGCGCGCAGGGCAGCTGAAACGGTTGCACCTACCGTGAACAGGCGTAGACATTTTTTTTTTTAAAGGAACACAAGGCATTATCGTTGGTTTTTTTACAGAAATGTTTGGCGATCGACTAGGAATGTATTGGAGATCGACCGGTTGGTGACCACTGCTCTAGAAAGTTGAGTGAAGTTCAATCTCGTGCTTCTCTCTGTGGGCTGATATTCCTGCGCGGCAGTCCAGGGGAACATTGGTCTACACATACTAAGGAATTGTTATGGTAATACCAATACCATTCTCTGTAGGTGGCTACTTAGCCTACCCAGTTAAAACAGTGCCTTAAAATAAAGTGCAACCAATTATTGTTTTATACTGAACAAAAATATAAAGGCAACATGCAACAATTTCAAAGATTTTGCTGAGTACAGTTCATATAAGGAAATCAGTCAATTGAAATAAATTCCTTAGGTCCTAATCTATGGATTTCACATGACTGGGCAGGGGCGCAGCCATGGGTGGGCCTGGGAGGGCATAGGCCCACCCACCTGGGAGCCAGGCCCAGCAAATAAGAATGAGTTTTCCCCCACAAAAGGGCATTATTACAGACAGAAATACGCCTCCTCCCCCCCTCCGGCGATCCCGCAGGTGAAGAAGCCGGATGTGGAGGGCTTCCGTGGTTACACGTGGTCTGCGGTTGTGAGGCCGGTTGAACATACTGCCAAATTCTCTAAAACAACGTTGGAGGCGGCTTATGGTAGAGAAATTAACATATAATTATCTGGCAACAGCTCTGGTGGACATTCCTGCAGTCAGCATGCCAATTGCACGCTCCCTCAAAACTTGAGACATCTGTGGCATTATGTTGTGTGACAAAACTGCACATTTTAGAGAGGCCTTTTATTGTCCCCAGCACAAGGTGCACCTGTGTAATGATCATGCTGTTTAATCAGCTTCTTGATATGCCACACCTGTCAGGTGGATGGATTATCTTGACAAATGATAAAATGCTCACTAACAGGGATGTAAACAAATTTGTGCACAAAAGTTGAGAGAAATAAGCTTTTTGTGCATATGGAACATTTTTGGGTTATTTTATTTCAGCTCATGAAACATGGGACAAGCACTTTACATGTTGCATTTATATTTTTGTTCAGTGTAGCTCACTTGGATAGATAGGCCTATGATCATTTCACCCTAAACTGTGAATCTTGCTTTATTTGGTGTGAGAGAGATTCTGACCCATTTTTCTGATAGTCATCATCAAATTAATTATTTGATGCCTTATAAATCTAGGAGAAATGCTTTAACGTAATGCCCTTCATAGCTCCTAAAATAAAACTTTGTAGGCTAAGACAAGTATACAGAATAATAGTAGGCTTAGATTTGCTTTCAAACTATTCGTTTATGCTTGAAATATACATAATAACACTGGCTTCTCAACTAGTCATGCTGAGCCTGGCTGGTCTACATTTTTCTTTGCGCTACATTCCCATCTTTTTCTCCTCTCCCCTCCCTTCTCCCTTCTCTCTCCTCGTTTCCTCTTCTCTACATCGTTGCGTCATTGTTTTGAATGGAGCCAAAACTTGTCTATTATATTGACAAAATAGTCGATTAACCGCACTAACAATGGAAATACATGTCCTCAAAGATGGAAGGCAGGCGAGATCAGGTGGGACCATTCTATCCAATGATTGGGCAGATACGCGTTTGAACAACAGGCCATAGAGATAGATAGAGGACTCATCTTTGTATCTGTGCCACAATAGCGTCTGTGACAGCATGAGCAGCGCCATTGTGGCTATCTCCATTTTAAAGTAGTCCATTTTCTTCTTCTTTATTGGCTGATTGCTCCCAACTCATGGGAATCCCCACCCAGTTGACGACTTTAAGATGGTGGAAGCCCTCAATGCCAATGTCCATGTTAAAATGGGTTCAATCCATGATGAGACCTCTATAAAGTCGTTTTTTTCAAAGTTGCTGAAATGCCAAGTGTGTCCACTTAAATCAGTGCATTTGTAACAACCTAACCATTACGAAACTTATATTAGATCAAACAAGCCTCACATAGAAAATTAGCAATTACATTTTTTTATGACCAAATTCTACATTGACCTCCATACAACAATTCCTCAATTCGTGGGTTTATTTTTCGTGGACAGATTTTGAAACTTCGCTTCGCCGCCTCCTCTCTGCTGGAGCATCCTCTCCGACTCCCATTACCTTCTGTTGGAGGGAATTTGAGGGAGTTCTATTAACCTGAACCCCGGTTCACCGGTTTATGGCACGTGACATGAACAGGCAAAAGCGGTGAGGGAGGAGCGCCTTTCTCAAATCGAACAGTAGACTAATCTGCGCTGCTCGGTCATGTTGTCAACTAGGCAGCATGGTGCATCATCCAGAAACATACATCTCTTTTCCATAAGATATATGTTCAAATTTTCTAACTAGTTTTCATTGGAAAGGCAGATAAAACGTTTTTATCAAGAGCAATCATATTTGCATGTTAAAACAGAATCCTACTCATTACTCAAAATCAAATAAATAAAAATGTGCTACATGCGCCAACCTTACAGTGAAATGCTTACTTACAAGCCCTTAACCAACAATGCAATTTTAAGACAAAAAAGTGTTAAGTAAAAAATAGATAAGGGGTCCTCTGTAGCTCAGCTGGTAGAGCACGGCGCTTGTAACGCCAAGGTAGTGGGTTCGAACCCCGGGACCACCCATACACAAAAAAAAAATGTATGCACGCATGACTGTAAGTCGCTTTGGATAAAAGCGTCTGCTAAATGGCATATTATTATTATATTATATTATTATAATATTTTTTATATTATTTATAAAATTAAAAAATTAAAGAGCAGCAGTCAAATAAAATAACAGTAGGGAGGCTATATACAGGGGGTACGGGTAGAATCAATGTGAGGGGGAACCGGTTAGTCGAGGTAATTGAGGTAATATGTACATGTGGGTAGAGTGCTTAATCTAGCCTAGGCTACGTCACTTTTGTTTTGAGCCGACCTCTCCGTGGGTTTTGAACAGGGCACCTGGCTCACGCCCGGGAGACAGCCCGGTTCCAAAACGAATGCGATCACTTTTCACCCGGTGCAAACTCCTTCAACTGGGGTAACCCGGGCCAGATAGTCGAATCCCCTCACTGACAGAAAAAATTAGCGTAGCCCAGTGGAGGCGTGTGCTGGGCCGACCAATGGGAGCTCAAATTGACTGCGCGATCGCACATGTTTACAGGCAGCATTCCGCGGGTAGAGACACTGGCTCTTGGCAGTAGGCTACGGACTGGTATTCTAGAATCTGGAAGCGGAGTAACTGTACGCGAATATTTCAGCAGATTTCACCCTGTCAAACGGCAAACCGGTGTAAAATATGTGTGTGAAAGTTAAATTATTTTTCGTGTAGCTCAAAATTAAATTGTTGTTTGTGTATTGGAGAAGCTCTTTTGTTCGGATGAAAATTTGCTTACAAATGTCATTGTCGGTCCTTAAATTCCGTTCCGTGTTTTGTGCTCTCTCGCGAGTTTAGAGGGAACGGTCAGGAAAATAAACAGGTCGAACGAAGAAATATAAGTAGAGGGTCCGGTTGAAGAGGTTATGTAGCGGGGAATTACTTGTTTTCATGCGTTTATTCATTGATGCTTGTTGCATTTTCTACACATATTCGTGCTTTCGAATATCGTTCGTTTTGAACCGTGCTAGCAGCAGAGTATGTTGCCCCTTTTTAACATTTGGTTAGGGTTTATGGAGCGCGTAGTCTGTCCGCTGCGGTGTTGTGTTTTTCAATTCTAACTCGACGTCCATAGATAGATATTGAACGCATTCCGCTTTAACATCGGTGCTATACATTTATCGCTATGCATACGAGGCGTTTGGTGAAGCGTTCAATCCTGGGGAGCCGGGTGTATGCGCCGAGTCCGACAGGGGACGGGGCTCCGTTGACAGGAGTTGTACAGGCTGTCAAGCAGGAAAACAGAGATGTTTCAACCGGACCTCGGCGTAACGTCTACACGTTACTAATGCAAGACGGAAGCCTGAAAGAATTCTCCGAGGACGAGATAGCCGTGGGCTTCAACCAAACGACGGCGAAAGGACCGCTCAAGTCGAGCATGAAGGTGTGTGTGACTGTTTGTTTGTTTGTGTGTGTGGCCGGGAAGCCTGCTGTTGTTGAGCGGCGGTGTTTTGCAGCGTTTAACCGCTTCGTGCACAGACGGAGCGAGAGCGTGTTATTGCATCCATTGCCCGCCGCTGCAACCGGCGATTACAAACGATGTTAATGATAGGCAGACAGTCACACACCCAGAATAATCCAGATGAGATTTCTGTTCCGGTGCAGAACTGCAGATTGAATAATAACAATGGACTGTCAACATATTTAGCATTAAATACAGGACAAAGGGGTTCCCATTGAATGATTGATTATGATAGGGCCCTAGATGCGCAGTGTTTTTCTGACCGAATGACTGTAGATTTGACCTAGTGGGGTAGGTAGCCGAGGCAAACACGCTCTGCAGCATTTTGGACCGATCATTGATGTAATAAACCGTCCCAGATTGTACACAATGTATCAGTCGCATATGACATTGGCAATTCATGCATATTAACCCGTCATTGCATTGAAATATGTCAAATTATAATGTATGAATTTATGTAATAACAGTAGTTGCATTTATTTTATTGTGTAGGGGAGTGAGCAGTATGTAATCATTAGCTGGCTATTTGTTTCATTCATGTCACATTGTGTCCTTCTTGCTGCAACTGAAAACTGTTGACTTTTAGTCTAAATAACTAGCATAGAATAGTAGATGTCATTATTATGCCACACTGGGTGGTACATTGTATTCCTAAATATAAATATGTATTCCTTCCTGTTATGAGTGACCTAATTGCCTGCCTTTAAAAGTTCCAGCTTGATGGTGTCACATGGTTTCACAACAAAGATGGTCTGGTGAGGCTGCCTGCCTGGTGGTCCCTTATAAAAACAGCTCCTATGATGAGAGGGGAATGCATGTGACTGTGTTGGATAACATAGCCTATAAATACGTATTGGGGGTTTGATCCAAGCAATGGGGTCATAGTTCAGTGACACGAATGCAAAACAGGCATATGGAAACATCTTCATAAATGCATGACAGAAATGCAAGATGTCATAGCGCAGGTATTCATATGCACAACCACATTTTATAAACAAGCCCATTCCATTATGTATACATTTACATTTACATTTTAGTCATTTAGCAGACGCTCTTATCCAGAGTGCATACATTATTTTTTGTATTTTTCATACTGGCCCCCATGGGAATCAAACCCACAACCCTAGCGTTGCAAACGCCATGCTCTACCAACCGAGCTACATCCCTGCCGGCCATTCCCTCCCCTACCCTGGACGACGCTGGGCCAATTGTGCGCCGCCCCATGGGTCTCCCGGTCGCGGCCGGCTACGACAGAGCCTGGATTCGAACCAGGATCTCTAGTGGCACAGCTATACTGTATAGTCAGAATGTAACTACTGGTCAAATACAGTTCCATATAGAGCAATGTAAGTAGTATGCTTGCATAAAGGCACGACAGAAATGCAAGACCTCATAGCCAGCGCCTCCTAGCAACCACATTTTATAAACAAGCCATAATTTCCATTTATAGTCAGAATGTAATAATTTTTAAAGGAATAACGTTCTAACAGAATGGTAGCTTCCCTCAGCACAGCTCAATCTTCTAAAAGTTGAAAGACAAGACGTGGATAGAATCAGGGGACGGAGGAGAGTAGGGGTCAGAGGGTGGCAGGAGGAGAAGAGGGAGTAGAGGAAGGGTGTGAGAGTTGTTTAACTGAAGAGGGTCACATCTCCCAGCAAGCAGTTGCTGTAGCAGCCGTAGTAACAAAGCATGGCTTGGAGAGAGAAGGACACCGCTTGGAGAGAAGTGCATGGCTTGGAGAAGAATCTGGAGCTCTGGCAAGGTGCCCAGAATGCCAAATGAGCACCATTTTCTTTAGAGGAAGAAGGAGTGGATGGAGGGAAGGAAGGAGGAGTGGATGGAGAGGGAAGAGGGTGATGGAGGTGGGAGAATGCCACTTGTTGTTGTAAAGGAAGGAGGTGTAGCATTGACCGACTGACTGCCATTAAAGGTGGCTCCCTCACAGACAAAGGCATGTGTTGTTGTTGTTTTCAGTTGATTGACATCAGACAGACCCTAACTGAAGCTAACTGGCTGACTCTTTGTTCATCAGCACATTGCTCCTCATGCTCCGACCAACCGACCGACCGACCACAGGTTGGCGTGCGCTCTGCCAAAATCATTCACCATGCAGTGTAGCCAAGGCAAGGCCTCCCCTTGCTTTGAGGGAAGGATAATGGATCCTGCGGTCAGAGGCCTGTGTTGGTGAATGGAGAAGCACTAATCAGTATCCTGACTGTTGCATTTGGGTGTCGTAAGCCAGTGATGTGACGGTTCAGAGAATGAGATCAAAATGGTTAACTAGGCTACATCACCAGACACATGGAGTGTTTTTAAACCAATCAATTACTGTACTCCTGATCTCCTCTTGTTTTGTGTGTAGTCTACTATGTAGCAATACATATCATTGGAAGTTAAACTTTAATAACATTGCATGTATATCTTACTACAATAATATTGGATGCTCTGGCTGGCTATGTAAGCAAGTCTTTTTTCTTTACCCTGGAGCGAAGCCCTCCCCATTAGGTAAATTCACATCCTTGTATGTACATATAACCTGTAATCCAGGTAAATCTCCTGAATTCTACAAATATATAGCTTTTTCAATAATATTTAAATGTTTAATAGCACTGTATAGGCTAGGCATATTTGTTGAACATTTAATCTGAATACATTTGATAAAATATATCCTAATCTCTTTGTGAACAATACATCACATGAGTTGAACACAAATACCATTAGGATGAAACCAAGTATACCATGACTCCTGAGCTATTGACAATTTATGATGCATGGAAACTTCTTTACCTTTGGCCTACTAGAGGTGAAAAACCTAATGCCTAAAGCAAGAAAATTATTTTGTGTGTGTGGTGTGTACAGCATGGTAGCTTGTTAAACGCCTTACATTATTAATCTCCTGAATTTAGGAGCTGCGAGACAGTTACCCCACATTGAATACTCTTAAGACGCGTGCAACTCAACTTACATTTTATGGCCGATTTGGCTAGCTCTGCAATTTCCTGCCATGCATGAAATATCATCATTCATATGGCTGTGAAAGGAAGTGATGGAGATTGGTTTCGTTATAGTCAAATAACTGGTCTGGGTAAAAGTTAATCTTTCTCTTAGTTCAGATAATCCATCTTGTTGTTTTACTCAAGTCCTGTTTTCAGAAAGTCTTTCTCGCCCGTTAAATGTTTGCTCAGCCAGGTTTTTATAGATAATAATCCATCTTTTACCTCATTAATCTAAGTAAACTGGAAAACTGTTTAAAGCTGTGTGTGTGACTGTGTAGCCTGTAGTTTTCTCTCCAGTTGAGAGCTAACCATGTTCCAGTGCGTTTTGGAGATGATCTCAATCCCACTGTAAGGGTGTTGGGCATATTGTCCTTCAACGCTCCGCTGGTGCACTTAGCCATGTGGATCTCCCTCTCTTCCTGGCCTGGATCTGCCCTTTCCACTGTGTGCGTCTGGTGTGTGTGTTCAGCGTGCACGTCTGGTGGTTGATGTCTTTATTTAGGGTGCCCCAAAAAAAGTGTGCACGGCATGGCTCACACGCTATCTGTTGCGTGCCGAGTCGTTTTGTGTGTGCGTGTGTGTGTATGCTGCTTCGTGTGGCGCCTCACATTATTGTTGCAATGGGTAGTGGTTTCCAGAATGTCAGGGGAGATGCTTGCTTGTGCAAAAGGGAATGGCTGTCATCACCACCGGAGCACTGCAGCAACAAGAGCAACCACCTTCAGGGGCTTTCTCACACAAACAAAGAGAGTCCAGACTTTCACATATTTGAAAGTCAAACACCCTTCAGTGGTAGCATACATCTTGTTGGTGTTAGCTAGCAGCACTAGCAAACTGGCTGTACATGTGAGTATTGGCTAGAATGACTTTGTGGACACCCCACAGGTAATGCTGTCCCAAATGGCACATATGCTACTAATACGCCTATATCCAATAAAAAGGAAAGACTGGAAGGCAAACATGTGGTGCGATTTCGCATCTTTATTCTATTTCCAGATACAAATCCTCTTACATTTTTGCCTCCCATAGTCCCAGTCTTTACTCTTCTATATTGATCCAGTCATATCTGTCCTCTGCAGCAGAGCTCCTGTAACGGCCGGGGGGATGGGACTCCACACCAGGCCCAGACCATGGCGGTCCAGAACGGGGAGGCCAACTCCCTGAGCCCAGATGCGGTGGAGGGGGAGCGGGCAGTGGACGGCAGGAGGACGGGGCGCACCTTGGAGGGTCCTGAGAGGGACCACACCCGCTCTGTCTCCCTGCTGGAGCAGAAACGCAAGGTGGTGTCATCCAGCATCGATGTGCCCCACGCTAGGTAAGACAGACTGAGTGTGTGTGTGTGTGTGTGTGATTGGGTGGGTCGATGGGGCGTGTGTCTGTTTGGTGTGTGTAAAAGTATTGCTTCCGTGTCTGTCCCTGTCCCTTACTGGGCTCGAAGCAGGGACCCTCTGAACCCATCGACACTTGTCAATCATCGTGCCACAACTGCTCAATTGCTAGCCATTTCACATCGGTTACATGTGTGTATTCAATTTCTTTGTCCTAGTAGTCAGGGAGTATTATGGGATTGGTGTTTTGATTGATTGCAGTCATTCCTCAGGAATCTTTGGTTTGAGTTTCTTTATGCTACATGTATGAAGTTCATTGAGGCTTTGTGATATACACTGAGTGCACAAAACATTAGGAACACCTTCCTAATATTGAGTTGCACCGGCCCCCCCCCCCCTTTCACCCTCAGAACAGCCTCAATTTGTCGGGGCATGGACTGTACAAGGTGTCAAAAGCGTTCCACGGGGATGCTGGCCCATGTTGACTCCAATGCTTCCCACAGTTATGTCAAGTTGGCTGGATGTCCTTTGGGTGGTGGAACATTAGTGATAAACACGGGAAACTGTTGAGCATGAAAAACCCAGCAGCGTTGCAGTTCTTGACACAATCAAACCGGTGCGCCTGGGACCTACTACCATACCCCGTTAAAAGGCACTTAAATATTTTGTCTTGCCCATTCACCCTCTGAATGGCACACATACACAATCCATGTCTCAATTGTCTCAAGGCTTAAAAATCCTTCTTTAACCGGTCTCCTCCCCTTCATCTACTCTGAAGTGGATTTAACAAGTGACGTCAATAAGTGATCATAGCTTTCACCTGGATTCACCTGGTCAGTCTATGTCATGGAAATACTCAGTGTATGTCACTGTGTACTTACACTACCGGTCAAAAGTTTTAGAACACCTACTCATTCAAGGGATTTTCTTTATTTTTAATATTTTATATTTGAGATTCTTCAAATAGCCTCCCTTTGCCTTGATGACAGCTTTGCACACTCTTGGCATTCTCTCAACCAGCTTCACCTGGAATGCTTTTCCAACAGTCTTGAAGGAGTTCCCACATGCTGAGCACTTGTTGGCTGCTTTTCCTTCACTCTGCGGTCCGACTCATCCCAAACCATCTCAATTGGGTTGAGGTCGGGGGATTGTGGAGGCCAGGTCATCTGATGCGGCACTCCATCACTCTCCTTCTTGGTAAAATAGCCCTTACACAGCCTGGAGGTGTGTTGGGTCATTGTCCTGTTGAAAAACAAATGATAGTCCCACTAAGCCCAAACCAGATGGGATGGCGTATTGCTGCAGAATGCTGTGGTAGCCATGCTGGTTAAGTGTGCCTTGAATTCTAAATAAATCACAGACCGTGTCACCAGCAAAGCACCCCCACACCATAACACCTCCTCCTCCATGCTTTACGGTGAGAATTACACATGTGGAGATCATCCGTTCACCCACACCGCGTCTAACAAAGACCAAAAATCTCAAATTTGGACTCCAGACCATAGGACACATTTCCACTGGTCTAATGTCCATTGTTCGTGTTTCTTGGCCCAAGCAAGTCTCTTCTTCTTATTGGTGTCCTTTAGTAGTAGTTTATTTTATTTGGGCTGCAATCTGAGACTGGTAACTCTAGTGAACTTATCCTCTGCAGCAGAGGTAACTCTGGGTCTTACATTCCTGTGGTGGTCCTCATGAGAGCCAGTTTCATCATAGTGCTTGATGGTTTTTGCGACTGCACTTAAAGAAACGTTCAAAATTCTTGAAATGTTCCGAATTGACTGACCTTCATGTCTGAAAGTAATGATGGATTGTCATTTCTCTTTGCTTATTTGAGCTGTTCTTGCCATAATATGGACTTGGTCTTTTACCAAATAGGGCAATCTTCCGTATGCCCTCCCCTACCTTGTCACAACACAACTGATTGGCTGAAACACATTAAGAAGGAAAGCAATTCCACAAATTAACTTTTAACAAGGCACACCTGTTATCAAGGCAAAGGGTGGCTATTTGAAGAATCTCAAATATAAAATATATTCTGATTTGTTTAACACTTTTTTTTGGTTACTACATGATTCCATGTATTTCATAGTTTAGATATCTTCACTATTATTCTACAATGTAGAAAATAGTAAAAATAGAGAAAAACCCTTGAATGAGTAGGTGTTTTAAAAATTCTGACCGCTAGTGTAGATGTGGCACAATGGATTGATGACGATGGACTGAGATGTGAAATTAAAATCTGATCTGTTAAAGTATATAATCCGTCGCCTTTAAGGTGCTTTAACAGGAACCAGCAGTGATGCATATGGCTTTAACATATCTGACCATGTAGGCCTTACACTGCTGTGATTCAATAAAGATACTGTAATCAAATAGATTCATAATGCAATCTGCATAAAGAAAATATGCACATTTTCCCACCAGTGGTTGCAGATAGAAATCAGTGCTTGATGATGTAGTGCACACACAATGTACTTTTTCGCTTATGATTTCATGTAAATAAAAATCTAAAGTTCAATGTGTTTCCATTGTATTTTCAACTCTACCGCTAGTTTTGTAACAAACTGTTGCGTTAAATAGCAAATGTGCCTACTCTGGTCTTGACACCTGCGCTCTAGCCAACAGCTGGCAGATACAGTGTGGGTAGCTTAGTCAACATGATGAGATTATTATGGATAAGAGCGAGAGTATTTTTATTTGTCAAATGGCAGTCCAGCATCAACCATCATGTCACTAGCATAAGACCCCCGATATTTATTGGAAAGGAGCATCAAGATCACCGTGCACTTTCATCACCCTGTGAAGTTCATCATAACTTATTTAATCTGTAGCCTAAAACTGTTTTCCCTAGTCGTAGTGGGAGGATCACAGAAAATACACTATATATACAAAAGTATGTGGACACCCCTTCAAATTAGTGGATTTGGCTATTTCAGCCACACCTGTTGCCGATGGGTGTATAAAATCAAGCACACAGCCATGCAATCTCCATAGACAAACATTGGCAGTAGAATGGCCTTAGTGAAGAGCTCAGTGACTTTCAACGTGCCACCATCATAGGATGCCACTTTTCCAACATGTCAGTTCGTCAAATTTCTGCCCTGCTAGAGTTTCCCCGGTCAACTGTAAGTTCTGTTATTGTAAAGTGGAAACGTCTAGGAGCAACAACGGCTCAGCCACGAAGTGGTAGGCCACACAAGCTCACAGAACGGGACTGCAGAGTACTGAAGCACGTAGCGTGTAAAAATCGTCTGTCCTCGGTTGCAACACTCACTACCGAGTTCCAAACTGCCTCTGGACGCAAAGTCAGCACAATAACTGTTAATCGGGAGCTTCATGAAATGGGTTTGCATGGCCTAGCAGCCGCCCACAAGCCTAAGATCACTATGCACAATGCCAAGCGTCGGCTGGAGTGGTGTAAAGCTCGCTGCCATTGGACTCTGGAGCAGTGGAAACACGTTCTCTGGAGTGATGAATCACGCTTCAACATCTGGCAGTCCGACGGATGAAACTGGGTTTGGCGGATGCCAGGAGAATGTTACCTACCTGAATGCATAGTGCCAACTGTAAAGTTTGGTGGAGGAGGAATAATGGTCTTGGGCTCTTTCATGGTTCAGGCCCCTTAGTTCCAGTGAAGGGAAATCTTAATGCTACAGCATACAATGACATCCTAGACGATTCTGTGCTTCCAACTTTGTGGCAACAGTTTGGGGCAGGCCCTTTCCTGTTTCCGCATGACAATGCCCCCGTGCACAAAGCGAGGTCCATACAGAAATTGTTTGTCAAGATCGGTGTGGAAGAACTTGACTGGCCTGCACAGAGCCCTGACCTCAGCCCCATCGAACACCTTTGGGATGAATTGGAACGCTGACTGCGAGCCAGGCCTAATCGCCCAACATCAGTGCCCGACTTCAATAATGCTCTTGTGGCTAAATGGAAGCAAGTCCCTGCAGCAATGTTCCAACATCTAGTGGAAAGCCTTCCCAGAAGAGTGGAGGCTGTTATCGCAGCAAAAGGGGGACCAACTCCAATTTAATGGCCATGATTTTGGAATGAGATGTTCGATGAGCAGGTGTCCACATTATTTTGGTCATGTAGTGTATCATTGTGTGACTCCAAGTTTACTTCGATATGGTGGTTATTATATCAATATTTCAACATAATTAATTTTACCAACACAAAAAGATCTCACCATGTCCAACAAACAAATTATCTGTCTGCATTTATAAAGTTGTACCGAAACTACTTGTTTGCATCACAGCTGTCCATAGCTGCGAGAAGTAGGGGTGCCTGATAAATCAGAATATATATTTTTTGAAGTAGTGCACTGGGCCTTTATTACTCCTTTATGAGCGGACAGAAATAGCTAAAAACTGTGGATGGAAACGTGGTGAGAGAGGGCTCTGTCCCAATTTAAATGGGGATGTTGGCACAACTGTATCCGTAGGTCATAAGATCAGAACACACACATAGACACGCGCGCTAATAATATAAATCCCTGTAGACCAACAGCATAAGCCTAATCAGCCTGGCTCAGCAGCCCAATCCTTCTAGATTTAGATTATAAAGGCATTGATCTCTGAGAAGTGAGTTACCAACCACGGATATGTTCAGAATAGGCATTAAATTCTGCTTAACAACAGTAATCACTCACATATATGGAAATCCCCAGTGAGTCCCACTCCTAGAAAAATATATAAATAAATCTCGACAGTATAAACAATCTACAGGTATCTGCCTTTACTGGCACACATCCACACACTGAGAGGCACTTTACAAATAAAATTGTGTGTCCCAAATGGCTCCCTATGAAGTGTACTACTTTTGACCAGGGCCCATAGGGCTCTATATCGGGAGTAGGGTACCATTTGGGACAAAACCTATAATGGTGGTTTTAGCTCAGTATACTGTTATTGTCTCTCTGTGGTCAACATAAACTGCTGTTTCCCAACTCCAGCGCAATTAAAAGTGAATGAGTGCGTCTTCATGGC